GGCGAGGGGCTGGGTGAGAGGCTGGGCCAGGCCGGGAGCTCAGCAGCCCTGTGGACATGGGTGCAGGACTCCTGGGGCCGCTTAGCTCGGCAGCCCCGTGGCCGGGGGCTGGGTGAGAGGCTGGGCCGGGCGGGGAGCTCAGCAGCCCCGTGGCCGGGGGCTGAGTGAGAGGCTGGGCCGGGCGGGGAGCTCAGCAGCCCCGTGGCCGGGGGCTGAGTGAGAGGCTGGGCCGGGCGGGGAGCTCAGCAGCCCCGTGGCCGGGGGCTGAGTGAGAGGCTGGGCCGGGCGGGGAGCTCAGCAGCCCCGTGGCCGGGGGCTGAGTGAGAGGCTGGGCCGGGCGGGGAGCTCAGCAGCCCCGTGGCCGGGGGCTGAGTGAGAGGCTGGGCCGGGCGGGGAGCTCAGCAGCCCCGTGGCCGGGGGCTGAGTGAGAGGCTGGGCCGGGCGGGGAGCTCAGCAGCCCCGTGGCCGGGGGCTGAGTGAGAGGCTGGGCCGGGCGGGGAGCTCAGCAGCCCCGTGGCCGGGGGCTGAGTGAGAGGCTGGGCCGGGCGGGGAGCTCAGCAGCCCCGTGGCCGGGGGCTGAGTGAGAGGCTGGGCCGGGCGGGGAGCTCAGCAGCCCCGTGGCCGGGGGCTGAGTGAGAGGCTGGGCCGGGCGGGGAGCTCAGCAGCCCCGTGGCCGGGGGCTGAGTGAGAGGCTGGGCCGGGCGGGGAGCTCAGCAGCCCCGTGGCCGGGGGCTGAGTGAGAGGCTGGGCCGGGCGGGGAGCTCAGCAGCCCCGTGGCCGGGGGCTGAGTGAGAGGCTGGGCCGGGCGGGGAGCTCAGCAGCCCCGTGGCCGGGGGCTGAGTGAGAGGCTGGGCCGGGCGGGGAGCTCAGCAGCCCCGTGGCCGGGGGCTGAGTGAGAGGCTGGGCCGGGCGGGGAGCTCAGCAGCCCCGTGGCCGGGGGCTGAGTGAGAGGCTGGGCCGGGCGGGGAGCTCAGCAGCCCCGTGGCCGGGGGCTGAGTGAGAGGCTGGGCCGGGCGGGGAGCTCAGCAGCCCCGTGGCCGGGGGCTGAGTGAGAGGCTGGGCCGGGCGGGGAGCTCAGCAGCCCCGTGGCCGGGGGCTGAGTGAGAGGCTGGGCCGGGCGGGGAGCTCAGCAGCCCCGTGGCCGGGGGCTGAGTGAGAGGCTGGGCCGGGCGGGGAGCTCAGCAGCCCCGTGGCCGGGGGCTGAGTGAGAGGCTGGGCCGGGCGGGGAGCTCAGCAGCCCCGTGGCCGGGGGCTGAGTGAGAGGCTGGGCCGGGCGGGGAGCTCAGCAGCCCCGTGGCCGGGGGCTGAGTGAGAGGCTGGGCCGGGCGGGGAGCTCAGCAGCCCCGTGGCCGGGGGCTGAGTGAGAGGCTGGGCCGGGCGGGGAGCTCAGCAGCCCCGTGGCCGGGGGCTGAGTGAGAGGCTGGGCCGGGCGGGGAGCTCAGCAGCCCCGTGGCCGGGGGCTGAGTGAGAGGCTGGGCCGGGCGGGGAGCTCAGCAGCCCCGTGGCCGGGGGCTGAGTGAGAGGCTGGGCCGGGCGGGGAGCTCAGCAGCCCCGTGGCCGGGGGCTGAGTGAGAGGCTGGGCCGGGCGGGGAGCTCAGCAGCCCCGTGGCCGGGGGCTGAGTGAGAGGCTGGGCCGGGCGGGGAGCTCAGCAGCCCCGTGGCCGGGGGCTGAGTGAGAGGCTGGGCCGGGCGGGGAGCTCAGCAGCCCCGTGGCCGGGGGCTGAGTGAGAGGCTGGGCCGGGCGGGGAGCTCAGCAGCCCCGTGGCCGGGGGCTGAGTGAGAGGCTGGGCCGGGCGGGGAGCTCAGCAGCCCCGTGGCCGGGGGCTGAGTGAGAGGCTGGGCCAGGCCGGGAGCTCAGCAGCCCTGTGGACATGGGTGCAGGACTCCTGGGGCCTCTCCAGCATTTCCTGGCTCCTCTCACCCCCAGGGCAGCGCTGCTGACGGGTCGGTACCAGACGCGCTCTGGGGTTTACCCCGGCGTGTTCTACCCCGGCTCCCGGGGTGGCCTCCCGCTGGCTGAGGTCACCGTCGCCGAGGTGCTGAAGGCTCAGGGCTACGCCACGGCCATGGTCGGCAAATGGCATCTGGGCCTGGGGGCCAACAGCTCCTTCCTGCCCATCCACCAGGGCTTTGACCACTTCCTGGGGGTGCCCTACTCTCATGACCAGGTGGGCCTGGGGCACAGGGCTGGGAGCGCCGCGGGGGCCAGTACAGGGCCTTGGGGAGATGAGACTGCGCTGGGTCGGGGGGCTGACTAGGCTTGCCAGGTGCTGTCACCAAAACTTCCGAACATGGCAAAAGTTGAGCGCCCCCCCCCCGGTGTGGC